GAAGCTGGAGACCTGACGGGCAGCTAGCGAGGGAGACGCTGAAGTAGCTGTTTGAGCATTCATTACCTGCAGTGAGGGGAGGGAAGTAGCAGACTCTGTTTCTTGGTACAAACAGCTCTCCCCGTGTAGTGCCAGGGGTTGCATAGCTGGCAGGAATACGGTGCTTTTATCATAGTAATTGAGAACAACTGCCTCGACCCTGGCTTGGATTGGACTGCAGGACATGGTGTAAATGCCTTCCTTCATGCCCAGAAGTAAAAAGAAGGCAGGGTAGCATCAGGGGTGGAAGGAGAATCGCCAAACCTGAAAAACTTGCAGGTTCTCAGCAGTCGGCTTGTTCCTCAAAAGACAAGCTGTTATCTCCGCCCTGCGGACCACCACCCGAGATTGCTGGGATTTTCTTCTACACTTTCAGCACTTCATTCGTGGCCAGAGGAGTCAAGTGCCAGCCTCCAGCTGTAACTTTATTAAACCTCCAGTGGCAGAAGTCTGCTTGAAGTCCAAACTCCAGCATGGCTGCAGAACAACTCTAACCCTCTCAACTGAGCTACATGCCCGAGAGAGGAGGATGCTGCTACGGCCATGGGGAGGGATTGGGCGAGCACATATACAGAGGTGCTGCCACATGTGTAAACTTCCTTTTTTTGGACTGCGACCGGAGTTGGACCCTTTTATGCCAAAACCTTTTATAAACGCAGAGTGGATTTTTTGTGAAATCCAAAGTAGTTCAGATCTGGGAATTACTGATGATCTCATTTCGGATCTTGGAGGATTATATTTTGGCAATAACCACTGGAGGACCAACCAAGCTCTCTTGGGTATTTAATCTATGACCACTTGGATTGAGAGGATGTAGAGGGTAACGGAAGTGGGAGGAGCCACAGAAAACTCTCAAGATGATTGGCTTAAACTTCAGTTTGCATGAACTGCTCAAAAACTTTGAACAGGTATAAATAAATATTTCCTTTTTTGTGCTTGGGCTTTTGCTAATGCAGAACTTAATATACATCACTATTAACAGTTTTCTTTATTTTTATCTCACAAAGTAATTTTAATAATGCTCCAGCTGTTATTACAGGACCTTGCTGGTGAAAGTTGGCCATTCTTTTCCAAAACTAAACCTGCTTTATTTTAGTGCTCATGAATTGCTTCTAAAAAACAGCTTCAATGAACTTTAATATGTATTTAAAAAAAGTGATACTTTTATGTTTTTGTGATTAAATCATCACAACTATGACCCCCTACATATATCTTTTGGTTCACTTTAAGTATTTAAGGTTTTATAAAAAAAAATAAAAATAAAAATCACACCCTAATTGTGTTGAACAATTAGCCATTTGATTCCTCATATCTGCAGATGTGCTTAAAATCTGGATTAGGTTATAATTATGAGATCTTGAAGGGTAGGAGAATGTCCAGCACCTCTATAAAATGTCCTCTTATAGGCATGCAAATCTATTAGCATTTTTCTTTTTTATTTTCTTTCTTTAGCAGAAAAAAATAGCTTTACAATGAGTGGTTTCAATGATTACAGTAATAGGTTAGGTATTACTATGTAGGTACTGTTGGCATTTTAAAAGTAGCCACGTCAATAAGATCCACATTTAGATACCACATAAAAAAAGGTGTTGTTACTGCAGCAAATTTGAAATAATCACAGGAATCCTTGGAAAAACAGAAATGTTGTCTTCAGCCATCAAAGGGACCAAGTTCTACTGTAGATGTAGCTCTATTTGAGCTTTACGGTGACAAGAAAGGTTTTGAAGATATTTGCATCCTCATTACAAGCAGAAGGGAACTATATGTGTAGTTCTCTGCATGCAGCAGCCTTGTAGATGCTGCAAAAAAACTTTTATCAGTATTGTCATTATTAGTTTTCTTTTGAAATTTTAGCTTAGTCTCTGTTCATACGTGGCAGCAGAGCCAATATATATAAATAAGCCTTTTATGGCTGTGGCAAATGAACAAGCTTGACACGTAGCTTCCTCCCAGAGGAAGCTTTGATTTAAAATACTAATTTTATAATGGCTTTAAACTACTGTTAGTTAAAAAGATTTAATAATTCATAGAGAATTTTGGGTGTTGGTGGTAATTAATATGACTTAGTGAAATTATTAAAACCTCTTTTTTTAACTGAAACTAGGATAAAATAATCTTATAATAACTTTGAACATAAAATGATAACTTTTCTATTTGAAAACTTTCCATACCGCTTCTTTCTTACCATCCTGGAACAGTGCATTTTACCGAAACTGGTGTTATTGGTGCACCTTTAAAGTCAAAAACATTAGACGTAATTAAATAACCAAACCAAGGACAGATTGACCTTCAAATTTCAAGTATGCTGGTGCATTCATTATGTCAACATACTGCTCTTTTCACAAGTGAGCAAAATTGTGCAAATCTCTCAAATGATTTTTGTCTTAAACCTCTTTTATGGATTTTTCATTACATTTTTTTTATTGTAACTTGCATTTACAATCAGGATGCAAAAAAAAAAAAAAAAACATACCAGATTAATATGACTACTGCCTCAAACCTGTAACACTTAAATCAAGACATACACTTAGTTACGTGTGTGTTGATCTTTAACTATTTAGATTTAAAAACCCAACATGTTAGTCAGTAGGTCATTGATGACGTTCATATGGTTCTAAACAGAGGCCAGTTTCTGACATGATGACCTGTCAGACATAGATGTTTTTTTTTTTTGTGTATGTGTGTGAATAGAAAATGATTTGTCACTATATTCCAAGTCCCTCAGGAAGCACATTGACACACATAAACCATGGGCTCATAGCAGTCATTCACCGGGAGAAATGAAATTTAAAGGCTGCTTTGTAAATTAATATGTTTGCCTCTGTATGCCCTCACAGTCTGCGTTCTGTCCTGGGTCTGAATCATCTGTGTGTTTGTGTGTGAATAGTCATATTTTTTATGTGGAAACTGAAGTGCAAAGGAAAAAGGAAAGGGAAGCACTTGGGTAATGACTTGAAACGTAGCCAGTTGGCTTAGTTTCAGGGTGTTTTTCTGCCTCTTACTTTAACTCTGTCCACCTAGCTTTCCATCTCTCTTTCTAAAGGCCTTTGTTTCTGCATCTTCACTCCGTCTCAGTTCTTTTTCTCTGACCTTTAAGAAGCATTCACGTTTATAGATTATTATCCTTGCAGATCACTGTAGTGGGATTTGCATGGCCTCAATTAGATGTCTATTGATAATCAGTTAATTAAGAGAATGCAGGACAGAGCTGGACTTTTGCTTTACTCCAGAAAATGTATTTTATGAATCCTTCCGTTATTCTTCTTGTTTGATACCTCTAATGGATTTAATTTTTTACATTTTTAACCATGTTTTATGAGGAACTAAGGTTGAAACCTCAGATTTTACTGTAATGTAGGGCTGCAACTAATGATTAATTAGCTAATCAACTAATCTTTCGATTAGTTTTCAAATTAAAAGGTTAATAATTGGATAGCCAAAGGTTCCTTAAAAAAATACCTTTTACAAAATGAACCAGGTAAAACTAGAACTTTTCCACTTGACAAGTTCTCAGTTGAACATATTGACAGATGAAAATGTTTTTTTTATCCTAAATGCAAAATGAAAGATTTTTCTTTTTTTCCCCCAATTTTGGTATAATTGCTGCTCTAAGTGGGTTGCTCTATCAGCTAAATGCATGTTTTAGAGTCTCGATATTCTATTTAATGATTACTCACTTACTCAATTAGTTGAGGATTATTTCAATAATCGATTATTCACGATTAACCTGATTAATTGTTTCAGCCCTACCGTAATGTTGTGAATATTTGACGTCTCTCTAGTAAAGTCTGGTAAATTTACTTCCTTGACTATTTGTATTTGTATTTTTGTATTTCAACCATGCTTTTAGACATTTAGTTATGGTGTAACAATTAGGGGGTGTAAAACAGGGGGAGTCTGATGTGACTGCCATCAGCTTTGACTTCACTTCAGGGTGTGCCTCTGAGCCTTTATCTGAAATTACACAAAGTGATCAATCCCATTCACTTTATGCTATAATGAAATGGTTAGTAACAGCAATTGGTGAGGAAATGCAAACTTACACTGCCTGTTGATGTTAGGATTCAGGATAAAATGTTTCACTCCTTACTTTATCTGAAAATGAGTTTTTTATGTTAATCTTTCATAAGTGAAAGGTTATTGCTAATGAAGTGTAAAGATCTGCTAAAGATGGCCAAATTTCCTCTGTGTCCATCATTATGTCATATTAAGTTCTGCAATGTACCAAGACTATATGTCTTACTTCTGCTTTTTGTATCTATACTCATTTTCTACCAGTTGCAGATCTGCCTCAGTGGTTCCAGGCGATTTAAACTCCCATCCATACTGTATTTGGGGTCTTTATCTTTTCTTGAAATGAGCTGAGCAGAATGGAGTCCCAGCTGAGAGGGCCAGGAGAGAAAAAAGAAAATGGAACAGTTTTACACATCTAAAAATAAAACGTTTGACAGAATCCTCTGCTTTCGTCAGCTTCCCTTGTGGGTCTATATTCTCACACAAACACTCTGCGTACTGGTTGTGTTAAAGGCCTGCTGTGTTCAGCTAACTGTTCGTGGTGATCGTCTGTTGCAGATGCACAGGATCTAACATGACAATCTGACCTGTAGCCACTCTCTAAATGAGCATAGAGCAGTTGTTTGCAAAACTGTTTTCATCTTTATGAAACCATAAAAATAAAATATGCGGCATCTGGTTTGAGTCGAACCTCCAATTTAATAAAAAGTGTAAAAGCTAAACCCCTTTAAGTCGTAATCCCATGTGGAGTACCCATGAAAATTGAAACTTTCTCCCTTGTTAATATGTGTGCAGTGTCTCATAAAATTACTCCATACTTATCAGTTCATGATAATCCGCTTCTATTAGCTTTAACTGTAAGGAAAGTAAGGTAGCACATTTGCTGTCCGTAATAGTCCTTGTTTTTTTTTAAATTGAGAAAATCCTTTATTTTCTGTATTTTGTAGGACATCCAGGCAGAGATTGACGCCCACAATGACATCTACAAGAGTGTCGACGGGAACAAATCCAAGATGGTTAAAGCTCTGGGCAACTCGGATGAAGCCGTGTTCCTCCAACATAGACTGGATGACATGAACCAACGCTGGAGTGACCTCAAGGCCAAATCTGCCAACATCCGGTAATTAGAACCGTGTCCAGACATCATTAAGATAATAGAAGAACATGCAAAGTCCTCACTGAGAGGCCTGTGCAGCAAGAAGCCTTTAGCAGGTTTCACAGAGGCAAAAACATGGAGCTATCTGACTGGGATTCATTGTTCAGCAGAAATTTGAATCTTGCCAACAACAAAATTAGGTAAAATGTGAGTTATGTAACCAAATAAGGCAGAAAGCACATGGAGTATGCTGACAGCCAAATAGTTTCCCTCAAAGAATTTCTCTGATATGTTGTGTGATGTTTTGCTTGGTAACCACTGAGCAAATATACTGGTAAACAGGGTTAGTTAACAATAGAAGTCTTTCAAATGTGCCTGTTAAAGAGAAAAAGGACAAATGAAGTAGTTAAAAGTAGTTACAAGTTTTTTGAAGCCTTTTAGTTTATGTTGTTGATAGCATTTAATTTGAATCCAAATTCAGATTTCTACTGACTGGTGGTTGATCAAGCCAAGAAAGTTGTGATCTGCCCTGACTTAAACAAAACAAATATATAAATAAGAGAGATTATGTAACATATACAAAAAAAAGGTATCCAAGTATGCATTCAAAGAATGTTTTATATGTGGTATTACTCCAAAAAACTCCCACAAAGCTGTTATTTCTACAGTATTAAATGTCAGAGTGCAGTTTTTATTTTATTTCTTTCTTCTTCATTGTTACACTGTTTCAGTTTATGGTATATTCTGCTGTCGCAGGCGAATCACGGGGGTTGCAGAAAAATCTTGGAGGAATCTTTGGTCATGGCTCTAAATCAGCAGCCTTAAGTCGCACTTTGAGACAGGTTGATCATCTGACAGTGTCGCCTGGAACAGTCTTACAGCTGCTACTGTAAGGAATGCAGCTACAGCCGGAGATGCATCATATAAACATCTGATAGAGAAGATGAATTCAATGCAATCTATTTCCAGGACTTTGTATGATCCCCAGGGGAGAAGCCTGGCAAAAAAAAACCCAAAACAAAACAAAAAAAGCAGCTAGAATATAATTTCGCATATGAATGGGAAATTTTTGCGTTAACAGTTTTGGAAGCAAAAGGCCAGTAACTGTAATGTTAACACATTGGCTGTGTTGAACTGTTTTTTAACATGAAAGGTGAATATTGGGGGTATATTTTGTTATAAATACAAAGAAATCTGAGGGCACGTGTAAATATATCCACTTTTAGAATCATTGGAACCATAAAACCTAAAGAATCTGTTAAATGGAGAGTTTTAGCATGACTAGCAGGAGAAACTCTATAAGCTGCAAACGGTGTTGCCCCATAAATAAAAAGTTAGTCTTTAAACATTTTTCTGCTACTTTGGTAGCTTACACCAAGACTTATAAATAATATAGGTTCATACTTATTTATTCTCCCAATTTGATTTTTTCTTTATGCACCTGAATCGGTCTGGTTGGCATCAATGCCTTATGTTGGCTGCCTTTCTCAAAGACCTAACTATGTAACTTCAGATGGATTTGTCCGGATGGATCATGTGACCTAGAGGGAGTCTGAGCTTCTCTGAAACACAACAGCTAATAACAGCTTAGCAAAAAAACAAATATGACACTACCCTGATCAGACATTCTCTGGTTCTCTGATGTAGGATCTAATCTAGAGGGGTGAATGTGGTTTTATCTTTTCAAGTACCTTAATGACTTCTCAGTTTGCTGCACCAAAGAGGCCTCCTATCAGATTCCAAAACACAGAGACAGTTTCCTTTGGTGAAAGTTACCAGTTGTAAAAATTACAGTGTTGCTTTAATTTGTTAAAATATTTTGTTAAAGCAGGATTGTTGGTAAAAGAAACCTGATTTATATGTTGAGAAAGATATAAGAGATCTGTTCTGAGAAGCTTATTTCCTTTGGTTTATTTTAATGAATCTGCTGTGTCTAATTTGAAAAGTGCTCCAGCGCACTGTGGGGCCATTTCTTGTGCTGCCCTTTCTGTTTACTGTGATTACATTACATGCAAACCACAATGAGGTGCTGCTAACGAGTAACTGCACTCATCTCTATTCACACTTGGCTGCTAGTTGGGAGGGCTTTGACCAGGCAAAGCTCATTAACACTAATATATAATGTTTATTTTTAGGAGTTTGGTTCCTTGTTGTCTAGCATCCCAAGTTATTTAACAAAAAAAAAAAGAAAAAAGTCCTGATGAGGCTATTCTTATCCTAAGCTTTTATAGAATATGACAGAAGCATCATTAGCCATTTCCTGCAAAAGATTATTCTGCAGAGATAAACTTTTATTCCTCATTGTGATTTGTTGCAGCACAAAAAACGCAATCCATTGGATTTAGACCACTTAGTCTTTTTTATGCATTTGCACATGCACTGCCGTACTAAATGAATCATACTCCTTAACTATAAACCTCATTATATGTTACAGAGATGCTACATCACAAAGTAGTGCATAGTTGTCCGGTTAATAAATTCTTCCTCCTATGGCTCTTCTACTGTTACCTTAAAGGGGTCAAAGAATGATTCTATAGGGTATTTGGTGCTAGTCCTTAAAGAGGAACGCGTTTTTTTTTTTTTTTAACATTGGGCCCTTGATTTTGTGTTATTACATCATGTTCTACTCACCAATATAAGTTTTGTGCCATTTGGAGCCATTCTGAAGATATTCGGTTAGGTTATATCCAAGTAACGTCTTCCTATGGGCAACGACTTGAAGGCACAAACTAAACTGTTCATAATTTATAATTTATGTTACGCCAGCATTCATAACATGTAGGCGAATCACTTTCCCCTAGACATCCACAGCTGTATTTTTATATTGATATTTTTTTAAAACAAAGTGGAGTGTGTATGACGTCATCCGTGGATGTCTGGGGGATTCGCCTACATGTTTTGAATGCTGACGTACCATAAACCATAAATTATGAACAGTTCAGTTTGTGCCTTCAATATGTTGACCATAGGTAGACGTTACTTAGATATTACCTAGCCAAATATCTTTAGAACAGCTCCAAATGATGCAAAAATCATATGGGTGAGTATAACATGATGTAATAACGTAAAATCAAGGGTCCAATGTAAAAAAAACTGGCGTTCCCCTTTAAGGTCTCTGAATAGGGTGTGTAACATTGGTTGGGCTGAATATGGCATATTTGCTGTTCTACAGTATGAGCCCTAACGCAAGCCTGGATAACAGCGCTAGAATGACATGGCAGGTTTTTCTTCCTTTTATGGTATGCTCATGAATATTTAGATGAGCTGTGCGCTTAATGAGGGAAGCTGCTGAGCAAAGACGCATCATGGCAACAAGTACTCACTCACTGAAACATTGAGATTGTTAATATGGCAGGCTGACCAGACGTCCTCTTTTTCCCGGACATGTCCTACTTTTCATACCCAAAAAAAATGCCCGGGGGGAATTTCAAAATTGAGAATGGGATGTCTGTTACTGCACCACCGCAACCCCCCCACACACACACACACACACACACACACACACGCACACACACACACACACACCACGAATTGACTAGTTGACATCAATTCGGGGCTTCGTTTGGATTCGCCTGTTTTATGGTGGAAGTTTAGAATTGTGAGGTTTGCAGAGAAAGGAGGTCTCAATGGGGTTTGAACTTTTCTGTACGTCTATTTCACCCTCTTAACATTCGTTCTTCATCTATGACAGTGTAAACTCTGTTTTGCATGTAAACTCTCAAACCCTTTAAGCCTTTTCCTTGTCTGCCATTTCAGGTGGATGAGGACTTCTCTGTAGCTTTGTGATTGTGCCATGCTCTTAGCATATTTTAAAGACACTATTCACCAAGCCCCTGGTCTTCACAATACTGTTTGTTCACTAATGTTCTCTAACATTCACGGAAAATCTGCCTTTATTCTGAAATTAAATGACGGCAGGTTTCTATTTACTGAAAAGATAATTTCTCAAGGCAGTTATTGACGTTACATTTCGTTTAGGGACGGAGGAGAAGGTTGGTTTTCCAGGTTTTTATTTATTACAGAGTTAAAAACGATGTATAATTTCCTCTCTTTAGAACTGTGTGCTGTTTTGTTGTTGGTCTGTTAAATGAACCCCCCCCCAAAATGCATTGAATTTTACTTTTTTAGCATGACTGAACATGGAAATCGTTGAGCAGTTTTTGTAAGTCATTGTACATAAACCGAATAGATTGCTTTGTGTTGTTGTTGTGACTGCCCACATCAGTGAGGCTCAAGGATGGATGAAATATCAACAAAACAAATCATGGTTTTTCTAAGATTCAAAAGCAGAGTTTCAACAAAACATTCAAGACACTTAGAAAGCACAAAACCTGAATGAAGGACGCCACTCTTTATTTTATGTGTAGTAAAAGCAACCTTGAGTGTTTATATGTTTATACAATCCTCAAACCTTTCGGCTTTATGAAAAAAAAAAAAGCAAAATAATTTTTATTTTTACAAAACTGCAGGCTATTGTTATATTTGCCTGCTTTGGAATGAAAAAACAAAACAAAACACTGTGATGCATTGAACATCTGAGAACAGAAATACAGTGCCAGTCATAGACCTGGCATATATAAAGATCATTAATGTGCACAAGTGCTGATGGTGAATAAAGTAAGGGTAAAAGTGGAGATGACAGGAGCCAGATGGAGACGTTCAAGTCCATGCTAAGAGTGGGGGTGGGTTGAAAGAAGTAGAGCAACAAAGCCTCAATTGTAAAGAGGCTGAGGAAAGTTTAGAGGGAGAGAAATAAAAACTGCTGGAGGGCAATCTGCATTTAGACTGGGCTTATTCCAGAAACATGACTCTGACTGGATATTTTGCATTAAAATCAAGCAACACTAAATAAAAAAAAAAGGTTTACTGCACGCTTAGGAGGAGGGATACAGTGTGTGTTTAATGATATACATCCCCTTTATGGCTTAATTGTAGCACGTTAGTAATTAAAGAGAGCTTGTCAGGTCGTAGTGGTTGTTCTCCTCTCACTGTGTTCAGACACATAATGCCCAAAGGAGAGGAGGAAAAGAAGAATTGCTTTTCAGCACGCATTCACCGATGCTCCATCCTACACAGTTGGAAGATGACTACAGTGAAATATCCACTCAATGCACCCACAAGCCTGTCTTCAATCATTAGAAGTCAGGATTTTAATAGCTTTTTGTAAATATTCAGATATTTAGAGAGAATATTTAAAGATTTCTTCATTTGCTTACGTAAGTCTGCGTCTCTAAAATAGCACCAACAACAAATAAATCTATTACAGATGCGTTCTGTTAATCTACCTTGATTTTTCATCTGCTGATTTTTTGACCGATTCAGGTAGAGTCTTGCAGTATATACTGTATTTCAAATTTATTTCATTAATATCAAGCAGGCTAAATAGTTTTTTCTTCTCTCTGGATTTGAATAAAATGATATAAAAAGGTAATTCAAAAATGGATCAGTAAATAGATTATTTGCTGACAACAGCTGACGGGATCAGATACCAAGAATAGCATAAAAGCGGAGCAAGCACAAAAACTAAATCATGGGATGTTGATCACCAGGGCCCATCTGGAGGCGAGTGCTGAGCGCTGGTCACGTCTTCTGGGACTCCTTGAAGAGCTGTGGCGATGGATCTGCATGAAGGACGAGGAGCTGGCCAAGCAGATGCCCGTTGGAGGAGATGTGCCCACCTTGCTGCAGCAGCAGAACCACTGCACGGTCTGTAATCATATCTGCAGTTTTATCCCTGTTGCACTGCAGGATGTGTCGTCTCTCCTCAGCTGCATATAGTTTTCTTTTCTATGCAACACATATCTAGTAACATTGTCTTGACTCTAACAGTCCATTAGGAGTCTTTGTGGAATACCTGTGCTGAAGCAGCGTTTCTATCCATTTAAACCCTTCTCTTATTTCCAGCTATTTGGTTCTAAATTTTTAATGGTCACACATCCTCTGGGACAAACCCAATATTGAGTGAGTCATAACTGGCTTATGTCAAAGAAAAGCAATATGAGTTGCCTTAGTAATTCTCCAAGGCAAGTTATAAGTGTTTGTTTGCTGTCTTTAAAATGCTCAGATCACCTTTTAACCGGTAAAAACCATATAACACCGTCGCCAGTCTTTGGTGAGACTGTAGATTTAAGGAAAAGTCAGGAAATGACTTGTCACCTAAACGTGCTTTTATGCACAGTCAGGGTAGTAATTACAATGCATTAAACCTCCTGAATTGTAGTTACACAATGGATGAGGATTCACATCCTAAATTTGCATCTAATGAATCTAAATTCAAGCAGTTCATAAAACATATTTAACCTTTTTTTATTCCTAAAGTATAGTTTCAGTTGTTTTAAATCCTTTATCTGTATTAGCTATCAGTGCCTGTAACCTTGTGAACTTTATAACTACACTGCCCACTTGCTGTTCTCCACTGTATTATTTATTCTAAGCACCAAGTTTTCACTACATTCCTTCAAATATTTCTTACTGTACAGTTACTGTTTTACTCTAGTTGCTGCCACTGCAGCTGCCTTTGTACAGATCGTCACCTCTCTGTGTCATAGTTTCCTGTAAAGCTGTGCAGAGAAATCAGAATGCACAGTCAAGAATTCATGCTGAGTTGAAGCGTCAGAATGTTGCGACTGATTTCCAATATCTGGTAGTTCTAAATATTTAAAGCAAATTCCCAATTTTCTCTTAAACTCATTATAAACGTAATCGATTTATTCTATCTTTTATGGTTATACTATGGAACTAGAATTAAATTTATGTTTTAATATTCCACTTTTCAGAATTTTTTTTTAGACTTACAACGATACCACTTTTGCATTTTTTCCAACCTAACAATATTGTCGCTTTATTTAGAGCCTTTTCAGACCCATATAGACATTTTTTATTTTATTTTTTCCCCCAAAAACCCACTTGAAACAAATCCAGCAACTTTTTCCTGTCTTGTTGGAGGCTTTGGTGAAGACACATTGAGCACAAATTGCTCTGAGTTTACTGCTAGTGACCAGGTAGTGAGCGAGCTCTTCCCTCCTCCAAAACAAAGGGACTCAGACGCAGCAGCTGCAGCCATTCTCTACAGTCAGAGAACAGAGAGAATCTCCTCTGTTCCCACATTGAACATGAGTAGCACATGCACGAAGCTAACAATTATGACCTCAATAA